GCAGCCTCCATTTTCGAGGCAAGAGTCCCCTCCTTTGCAGTCTTGGTGAAAGCAAAGCCGAACACTTTCACCCTGGGTTTGCTTGGGCTGGACTCTGGCACCAAAAATTGACGCTGCGGTAGGACGAAAGTTTGACCTATTCCTGCCTTCGTCCAAGACAGGCCCCCATTCCCCCGTAGACTCCTAGCACACAGGACCCACCGGTTACTCCTCCGGAACATTAAAGTAGTATAATTTTAAAACGGGGTATAAAATACTCCGCTGGCCAGGCCACATAAATCGCACTTTTCGGCACTCCGCTACTCCGCAAGATATCTTAAGACAAGACAGATCCCGTAGGTCAAAACTTTTGTCCTCCCGATGCCTCACCAGGACTTTTCTGTTCAGCAGACCTCGCCAAACTTATTGCTGTGTGACCTAATGACCTCCTTCAGGTCCCCTAGACAGACATCCCCGTCTAAGAAACGATTCAGAAGGCAGCCTCCATTTTCGAGGCGAGAGTCCCCTCCTCTGCAGTCTTGGTGAAAGCAAAGCCGAACACTTTCACCCTGGGGTTGTTTGGACTGGATTCTGGCACCCAAAATTGACGCTGCGGCGGGACGAAAGTTTGACCTACTCCTTGTTTCGTCGAACCAGGCCCCCATTCCCCCATAGAATCCTGACAAGCAGGACCAACCGGCTACTCCTGCGGAACATTAAAGTAGTATAATTTTAAAACGGGGTATAAAATACTCCGCTGGCCAGGCCACATAAATCGCACTTTTCGGCACTCCGCTACTCCGCAAGATATCTTAAGACAAGACAGATCCCGTAGGTCAAAACTTTTGTCCTCCCGATGCCTCACCAGGACTTTTCTGTTCAGCAGACCTCGCCAAACTTATTGCTGTGTGACCTAATGACCTCCTTCAGGTCCCCTAGACAGACATCCCCGTCTAAGAAACGATTCAGAAGGCAGCCTCCATTTTCGAGGCAAGAGTCCCCTCCTTTGCAGTCTTGGTGAAAGCAAAGCCGAACACTTTCACCCTGGGTTTGCTTGGGCTGGACTCTGGCACCCAAATTGACGCTGCGGTAGGACGAAAGTTTGACCTATTCCTTCCTTCGTCCAAGACAGGCCCCCATTCCCCCGTAGACTCCTAGCACACAGGACCAACCGGCTACTCCTGCGGAACATTAAAGTAGTACAATTTTAAAACGGGGTATAAAATACTCCGCTGGCCAGGCCACATAAATCGCACTTTTCGGCACTCCGCTACTCCGCAAGATGCCTTAAGACAAGAAAGATCCCAGTAGGTCAAAACTTTTCGTCCTCCCGATGCCTCACCGGGACCTTTCTGTTCAGCAAACCTCGCCAAACTTGTTGCTGTGTGACCTAACGACCTCCTGCAGGGTCCCCTAGACAGACATCCCCGTCTAAGAAACGATTCAGAAGGCATCGCCGGGCCGAAAGTTTCGACCCACTTGTGCATCATCTTACATGCAAGCTCTTGCGGAGTAGCGGAGTACCTCAAAGTGCCGTTCACCCTACGCAGGCCAGCGGAGTAATTACTACGCCGTTTTAAAAATATAATACTTTTTAACTCCGGCGGAGGCCCCAAGGCTCACTTGTGTTAGGAGTCTATGGGGAAGAGGGTGGAGGCCCATGTGTTGTAAAGCATGTTGAGGCTAGTGGGTCGAACTATCGGCCCGGCGCAGCCTCCATTTTCGAGGCGAGAGTCCCCTCCTCTGCAGTCTTGGTGAAAGCAAAGCCGAACACTTTCACCCTGGGGTTGTTTGGGCTGGACTCTGGCATGCATAATTTGTCCATCTCCCTGGTCGCAAGCCTGGAGTCTTGATTCATTCGTACATCAGAAAGTGTGAGCCCTCTGAGCTGCCTTGCAAATTGAACTCTCAAGTGGGTCCGAGCAGCGGGGTCATCCCAGAAAGCTTTCGCGCAAGCTTCCTTCGCCAAAGCAGTAAATACATTCCCCTGCCCATCCTGAACAGCCAGAATTGAGGTTTCGCACTGTGTCAGAAGGTGAATGATCTTTCCATCCAAATGCCTGAAGCCAACTGGTGCTGTGTGGAAAACAGTTTTGGGGCCATGCACGGCTTGCGTGGCATGCCACTTGCTAGTCATGGTATCTAATGTCGTAGCAACGTATCTAAGCATTTCCAAAAGACCCCCTGCAACCCTTGTCCTTGTCTGAAAGCATGATTGCCCTCGAGTGCCCCAGAAAAGCTGTTTGTTCGCGGAATCCGTGGTCATCGTCGCGCCTTGGTTCTGGCTTTAGGGCCCCAGGGCTCAGGGCTTTGGGGTTTAGGGTTGCAGCAAGAGTGAAGGTGATTATGCACGCATTACTTTCTGAGAGCTAGAAGATCATTGAGCAAGGCGCCCAAACTCATGTTATCTCTTACTGCTCCGCTGGGAAAGACTGGTCTGTTCTTGTTACAGTCCGTGCAGGTGCTACCAAGCATTCTCGATGCCGAAATCGAAAGACGAACACTTTGTTGTCAAGGAGGGCATAGAAAACCACGAATGTGTCAATTATGACCCAGGCAGGTGGTGTCTATGAAACATGTTTGGGATGCGGGCAACGACATGCGAGCGCCCTCAACATCGACTCCATTTCCCTACATGAGCTGCACATCACTGGCCCAGGCGCTGCGAAAAGTGATGGACGGCAAAGCGGTAGTTCAGCATCCCTGTGGGAAGTCCCGGTCCAGAGAACTTCTGCAGTGTCTGCAGTTTCATCTTCTTGGCCTGACACATTCACAAGTTGCAAGCGAGAGATGGAAATCAGTATACATGCTTGGTGTAAGCTCAAAAAAGGCACCACGTTCCAGAGGAGGGGTCTAGGATGTGAGGTGTTCCTACGGACACTCGGGGGTCTGAGGGGCCGCCGCAACAGGACACCCGAGAACAAACCGTCCCGAGCAGCGCGACGTAGACTCCTTAAAACCCCAATGCCTTAATCCGAATTGCATCTAGAGGCCGGGGACCGGAGGCGGCTCTGTCTTACGCGGATGTCCATGAACCATGTCATGCAGGAGGCAGGATTCTTGTCTCGGGTCTGGCTTTGGATTCAAAGCTGAACTCAAGACCAATTCGTGACACGCACGCCCTGATAGGCGGAAATTCAGGACAGGCCAGCACTGAACAGCAAGTGCACGAAAGGCAAACTTGGGCTAGGCCGGCTAGGCATGGTCTTTCCGCATCGTTGGACGTGCTATATCATATGCAGAGTAAGTTTGCCACAATACATCACAGGCGGAGTATCCAAATCTATATCAAACATATGATATCTGAACTGATTACCATCCAAAGATATCCAAAGCATCGCTCAACGATACTTTGCATGCACGCTCTGAGGCCGAATGCAACCGCCGCAGCGACAGTGAGTGCCATGTTTCTCAGAGCCCAGAAAAAGCTTTGGATCTACAACACATTGAGGGCTGGATGGGGCAGGACTGCAAAGGTCTGTGTCGCGAATGCAATGGAGCAGCTCCGACGAGTTCAAGTCTGAGTTCGATATGATTTCGGCAATGTATCCACATCATGCAGAATAGCAGGAGCTTACTCTCCAGCTTACATTGCAACACACTCTCGCGAAAAAACGCGGACATTGCCCAGCCTAATTTCTAAAAACACATCTCGATTGGTGCATGTCACCATTCAGTATGCAAGTACACAATGAGAAACTTGACCTACTTTCAGACCATGCGCAGGGCGCGGAGGGGCTTCTGGGCAATGCTTAATGTTTAGTCTAGTAGTACAGAGGCTTAAGGCAATACCTTAGTATGATTATATGCTTCGTGTGATCACTTGTGTTGGGAGGGGTTGCAGGAAATGCTGAGTATGAGGACTAGTACTAAGGTTTTAGGCACTACGTAGTAACAGTATGCATACTTGTATGAAACCTTTTGATGGCGAGCGGCAGTGACAAAGATGCTCTTGGCGCTCGTGTATTCGGCGTAATTGCCGGAGGCTCTTCTCCTCAGGGTGGGGTTTGCTACTCAACTCGCGTAGTATACTATCATGGCTGTTTCAACAATACTTTTATCACATACAGTACCGCAGTGCATCGCTAACCGATGATTCTCGGACCGATCGATCCGGTCCGTGCCGCAGAACACCTCCAGCCACCAACCCTCCAACCACCAGCCCTCCAGCCCATCCGGCCGCCAGGCTGCGCCCTCCAGCCAGCAGCACTCCAGCCGCCAGCCCTCCAGCCACCAACAGCCCTCCAGCCTTCAGCAACCTGTCTGTTCTAAGATAGTTATATTCAGGAGCCCTACAGTATGGAAGGAAAGCGGCACTGAGTTAGACTTCCATATTATGCAGGGCAAGGCTTCACTGAACTCGACACCCCCAAACGAGCTTCGAACTCACGCAACAAAACCCTAGGAGTGCTGGAGGGCGGTGGCTGTAGGGAGGCTGGTGGCTGGATGGAGGAGCCGAAGGATGAGGGAAGCGCGGGGGGCGGAAGGCAGGGGAGGTAGTGGTAGGTCGGTGGCTGGAGGCAGGTGGCTGGAGGTTGGTGGTTGGAGGTTTGTGGCGGGAGGAGGCAGGTGGCTGGAGGGGTGGAGAGGGTGGTTGGAGGGGTGGTGGCTGTAGAGTGGCTGGGTGAGAAAGTGGTGTTGGTGTGGCTGGTGGCTGGTGGGTCTGGCTGGCTGGTGTGGCTGGTATGGTGGGTGGCGTATCGCTACCGAATCGAACCGAAACTTCGCAATACTGTCAATACATATACCGCCAAATACCGCATACGTATCGGTATCGACCGAAATGCCCGATTACAACCATGACTATCAAAAACATCTAGGCCAGAGATGTTGCGCATCAATGATGAACTTGATTGTAATCTGAGGGGTTTCTTTTTCGGCCTTGCTATGACACTCCATTCAAGCAATGCTTTAGATAGGGAGCTTCAAGCGGAGTCTCAACCTATCATTCCATCCTTCGCAGAAGAACTGCTTCTTCCAGTTTCACCCCCTGCCTCCGCAATACTTCCCACTCCCCGGCAGAACCCACAAAAACAAAAAAGAGTCGGCGCGACACTCTATCGGAGCCGCTTCTTGTACCATCTACAACGAGAGCAAACAAAATCCAAGCTGGGTTTGGGGATTGCAGGGGTTGAGGTTGAGGTGACAGCATTACAACACGAGTCTGATCGGATCATTCGAAAGCCCCTTCCATGACCAAAAACCAAACTTCGGCTTCGCCAAGTTTCTTGTTACCTCACTACCGACATCATCCAGACTTAGGGCTTTGGCCATACGGCGAATGAGGGTGTTGCACGGCTTCTATTGGGACTCTCTCTCTCTATATATTTATATATATACATATATAAACAAAGGCTGTGCCACTATAGCCCCCCTATGCCGTTCTAAGCAAGGACTTTCAAGTTCGAGGGGCCGGGTACAAGTGGCCATACCTATGCAGAGTCAAACTCAACCAACATCCTCATCTTTATGCATGCTCCGAGCAAAGCCTATGTGAAAGCAGTGCCACATCTAGACCCTACCTCGTTCAATTTATCTTCAGTCGGGAGGCTTGCTCGCAGAGGAACAGCCAGGCCTGAAGTAGGCTCTCTTTCCTGGGTACTTGTCATTAATTTGATGAGGTGGGCAACAGGTACTTTATCGGGAATACTCCCGGGCATTTAGCAGAAACTACTGCAAAGATCGAGTATTTCATTCCGTACCAACCAGGAGCAGGTTTACTCTGCTGCGAGTTAGAACTATGGAGCACGAGCGAACGAAAGAACTTGCCAATGCCAGTGGCATCAACCGCGTCTATGAAATTTCTATAAATGACGTGCCTGGTGATTATGCCGCAACACACGACACCACAAGTCTTCGTAGCCAGCAAGCAGAAAAAATGGAAGACCCGATGTATAGCACCCTGGCCTGAACAGAGATACGTATTCAACTACGACAGACGTCGATAGTGCGCTCAACGGTTTAGATTGGATACTTACTTCTGCTTCTGCTGCCAGAAAGATGCATGATGACCATACTCCTACTCTCACTCGTGATTTCTATTTCGACTCCGGCTCCGACTGCCACGACGACGGCGGCGGCGAAGGCTGCTGCTTTTTCTGCTGTTGCTACGGCTCCGACAAGGACGGTGGCTACTACAATGCGTACAATTACTATCAATGTCACTGTCACTACTACCATCAGATGCCATCACTCCCGCTGGCAGTTCTATGCCTCGTGCAGCTGCGAACATTTTGGTAATGCTGACTACCACTCCAATTGTGGATCGTCTTAAGCTTGCGTGACTTCGGAGGTTTGGTTTGAACCCTCGAGCGTCATGTGCTTGTGTACTGCGACTATAAAGGCATCCGCTCAACTTTTTTGGGTGGCGGGCACTTCCTCCCCAGCTGTTCAACCCGAGCAGTGCTTCGGCCTATGCGGCCTTCTAAAACTCTTCATCTCTTTTGCAGGACTGCATGTGCCTTCGTTCGCAATTAGCTGGAAACTTGCCTGCAAATCTGAAAGAAAGCTTGGCCATGGCACGCCGAAGTCGCGGAGCCAAGGCCTGGGGAACCCGAAGCCTTGCCTTCAACCTGGTTGCGCTGCATGGGCCTATGTCAGGCGAAACTCACACGACCCATCATCGGAAACAAGCCCGACGGCAAAGAAAAATGCAGCAGGTGCCTGAAAGCGGCCCGAAACACAGCCGACAAACCCAAACAATCGACCCTGAACCTTTGACAAAATGCTCTGCTCTCAGCAGTCGCGTGCCTCTTCCGGGGTCAGCTTGGATGACCTCAACCAACATAAAGCCTAAACTCTGGATGCCTCTCTAGCCCATTCGGATGGGCTGTTGTACAAGAGAATGCTGTCTACCAACAACCGCTTTGACAAGTTATCTTTCAGTCCCCTTGTTCAGGGGTCCGAATGAACACACGCACGATCCCTTTTGCAAGCACATGGAGCGACGAGAAGCCCTTGCGTTCACGATTGCGAAGCTTCAGCTATCAACACTATTGCAGGCCAGTTAGTACGGGGATGTACGGGGCGTGCCATCGGCGGGTAGTGGTATCAACCCTGCCGGCTGAAGCAAACCTCGAACATCCAGGTATTGTTTGACAAGTAAAACATATAAAGTATACCTGGTCATACATATGTATATATGCCATAGTGTCTACTTGTGTCTGTATATTTGAAAAGGCGTATACATACATGAAGTGCCTGCGTGAATGCGTGTATGTATACAGTGTACATTTCGAAACATATCATACCAGATGGTGCCCCGTATATACAGATACACACACATACATACATACATACATACATGCATGCATACGCATAGACAAATGCACATACATGTACACATACACATCCACATCCACATATTTATATGCATAAACACATACATAGTCAGAAACATAGTGATATACGTATACATACACAAACACATTCACATGTACGTAGACATAGGCGTACATAGGCAAAGACATAAACAGAGACATAGATGCAGCCATACACATACACGTAAACATAAGCAAAATCATACACAGAAACATACATATGCATAAGCACATACGAAATATATGTACATGCATGCGCCGAGTGTATATATATATGTACATGCATGTATACATATCTGACAGTGAACCACGTGCACCCTCAAAAATCTGAGATAGACATAGATATCTACATACATGTATATATATATATGCACACACGTAATTACAAAAATTATTCATCTTTTTACGTATGAGACTATAATGTGCACTCACTTTCATGACAGTTATTTCAAACCAAGCTTCTCGTTTCTCAGGTTGTGGTTAAAGGTCCTGGAATTTACAGATCTTGGACTCTGGTGTTGCAAGGTCACAGGGGCTGAATGAGCAGGTAGCCGCGCCAGTCAAAGTAGCTACATGCCTACACCAATAACGGCGAGCGGTGATCTGATTGTACAGCTAATTGGATGCAGAAGCTCTGATCCTGATGGCGTTTGTTTCGACAATCTCCAGTGACCATCATGGCTGAAAATGCGGATGCACACCATGTCCGTCACAAATCCTACAACATTTGCCACATCACCTGCACTGCTGGTACCAGCTATCTACAACGGTGCTGCAGGATCGTTCTACTACATGCTCGTTCTACTAATTGTGTTGTCTAGAAGTTGTTGCGGGCTGCTAGCTGCTTGAATCGCATCAAGCATGCTGAAGGCATGCATCCTGCTAACTCACCTTTCCACGTTTGCTGTTCAAGCGTGCGACCCACATTGCTCATGGATGCTAGATACACCACACGAACTGGCTGCACCAAATACATCGAATGCATCAACCCGTGTGCGCGTGTGCCTTCCAAGTTTCCGAATTGCTCGACGAAGCTGTTGGCCCCCAACTCCCCCTATTTGCCACACCAACTACACTCCTGCGAGCTTGCCGGACGTCGGAAAAGAGCCGCGCCCTACCCTTTTGGGCTCGCGACGTTCTGCAACGGGAGCAGTGCGCACGTGGCCAGAGAAACCGATCCAGCAGGGATTTGTGAACTGGGCTGCTCGAGAATACGACTTCATTATGCATCAAGACATTCCTGAACTGAGCCTGTGCCATGAAACACTTTAGTTGAGTGACATATTCGGACCAGCAGTATTTTGGTTGGCTGAACCTTGTCGCATCCTCGTGGGATTTCACATGTTGGGGTTTAACCATGTTTGATCGCACTGATTCTGGAGTTCGGTTCCGTGCGGATGCACGAGGCATCGTTCCACTGCCAGCGCATTTCGACCCATGTACCGTTAGCGTCACCGGTGATTGTCACCTGTGGAGTTGTTGCACTATTGCTGCAGCCACGAACTATCTGCTCCGAACCACACCTGCGCAGCCTTAACATCTCCCCTTGAAATGTCCTCGCAATACCGCAGCAGACTGTCGGGGTCGAGATGGCCTCGATGATTCCGCCTTGGCCACAGAGGCAACTACAACTGGTATTATGCTTCCCCGATGTTCGAAAAGAGGATGGGGACACTTTAAATGGAATTGGGGCACATTCCAGGTCCGGAAACGCTTGTAAGATTGTCTTGCAACTGAGACGAAGACGATCGGCAATGCTGGCATTCCAAGGCCGCGTCCATCATGTTAGACACGGCAAGCCGAGCAGCCTACGACATGTGTCGGAGTCAATGCAACCTCGAATCTCCCCCACATGATCTCGCTATCGTGACGGCTGCCTATCAGCTTCCACACGTCTTTGTCCTAACTACCCAGTGATGCCCGCAGATGACTGATGGTGTTAAAGCTTGGGTGCAAACCCTGGATTTATGACCTGCGTGAACTATGCGTGATCGCGCACTTGCTGCCGAAGCCGTCTGATCCTCGCGCCGAAAAGCTTCGCAGGCGTTTGATTTAGACACTCTACAACCGCGTAAGACGGCAATGGCAGTGCTTGGGAGTCATCTTTTTGCGGCTTGTTCACGACTGCAGATGGCTGTTGTGAAGCTATTGCGACGATTTCTGGTTGCAGCTAGCAGGAACCCTACCTCTCTGCAACCAGGTGGTCGTTCTAAGGCTAAAACCATCTATTTAAAACCGAAGCAAGCTATCAAACGCGCTCAAACTTCGACTTTCTCTTTTGTGAGGCTGTGTGGGTGCCGTTATCACTGTTCTCATTGGACCACATCTGTCATGCGGCAAGGTGGTCGTGGCAACTCTGCGATGTCTTTCTGCCATTGTTTCAGCCACCGGGATGCGATGCGGTTTCCTAAGGACATTCTACCGAAACAGGCCAGCAACAATTTCGGGTCGCACCAACTCCTGGCAGGGTGTCCAACTTCGATGCCCTTGGAACAGGCCCGGACTGAACTCGGAGATGGAACTTGAATCCCGTACACTGTGCGAGTGACTAGGCCCTGCCTGAAGCTTTGAACCAAAAGAGGCCGTGAAAGCTTAATGCCGGCAGCACACGTAGCATGGAATGAAGCTTCGGATCAAATCGCAAATCTGAAGCCTAACGAAACTGATAAGGGCTCCGGGTTCAGGTTCAAGGAGTATGGCAAGTTCATGCCATGCGCTTCATCGGCTTTTTGCACCATGTTCGCTCTGGCGTATGCCCGGCCAGGTTCACCAAAAAAGGCAGCAAACAGCCTGGCGTGCATGACGATCCGCCGGATGTGCCCACACTGATCAGTGAAGGACGTTAAACCCTTTTGGAACTGGCCTGCTGCGACTCCGCCAGGACGAATACTTGACCACAATCACTTAGTGAGTAAGCGACTCGTGCGCTCAGGCCAAGCATCCGTGACGTTAAGCCCTAAACCCCTAAACTCTAGAACCCCAAGCCTTGAAACTTTCAACGCGTCACATCAGCCCGCTCAAACCGAACCTACTCCCAATTCCAAACTCTCGCGGCTGTTGGGGGCTGGCGTGAGTTGTAGATCTGAGTCCATCGGAGAGGGGTTTCACTTTAGTTTTGCGGGTTCATGGTTGGGGGTTGCTGTTAGGGCTTGGTCTGATCCAGAGTGTCTCAATTAGGCCATTGATTCCAGAGTTTCTTCACGGCGTCAAAGACTGCCCAGAGGCTCCACAAGCCTTTAATTCAGGAACACTGTTGAAATAATAGTGTGGATGCTCAAACAAAGCTCCCTATTTCAAAGGACAGCGGTGTTTCCGGATACCCTACACCCTTGACGAGTGCATGGAAGCATAACTAGGGTGCTGCGAGCCCCGGGAGAAGTGCATGTTTAGGAATGGTTCAGGGTTCATGCAGATTTGCTACTTTGGGGTTCCGGGCATCATGTGCTTACCCTTGAGTTGTGTTTATTATCCCTCGGGGGGATTTGGTCCCGTGCCATGTAAGTTTTCAGACAGCCCTTTCTGGGGTTGATGGTCTCAGCTTACTACTTCGGAATTTCCTAAAGAAACTTATTGGTTTTGCCAAAGGCCCCTACAACCACCTTGAGAGCACGTGAAAAAAGCATCCCTAATCTAGGCCAGCAGGGGTCTAATAAAACATGCGATGTTGTTCACAGCGACGCACCTGCTTAGGCACCAGAACACTACAACAGTGTACCTTGGCTCGGGGCGTTCCGTGATCCAGACAATATATGTTGTTGTATGGAGGTGAAGACAAGCAGCGAAGTGTCCGCTAGTAGCAGTGCTGACGCTGCTGTTCAAGTTGTTCAGCTGGAGACACGTGTCATTCGTTTGCTCAGGGCTCCAGTGCAAAGGATGGGCTGGCTGTAATTGTTGAATCAGTATATTTAAGTATTTTCTAGTAGGCATCTACATGAACTCGCCGTTGGGGCCTGTCATAGAAGACGAAGCACCACCACCACCACTACCAACAACAACAACAAAAGCAACAGGACCAACACCACCTAGAGTTTCAAAAAACTACACTGTATTCAATATATTCATCGTTATCACCACCGCCAAAAAGTATGAAAGTAACAACCACCTACTGTTGTATACCGTTGTAATTTTGATATCATTGGCTGAGCCGCTAGAAAATAATTGGCAATTGTGCTGTATGACTGCAATTATTTTAAGACTCTTAGTGTGAGTATTTGCTGGTCCCCCAACACACACACACACCAAAGGAACGGCAGTGGCATGCAACCATAGACAAGGTATAATCACAACAGAAACGCAGTATTCAACGCGTACCCCAAACAAGAGGAATTGCATCGAACAGAAGCATGCACAACTATTCGAGACAGCTTTCCGAAAACAAACCAAGCCCGTAGACGTGTGCGTTGCGCCTAGGCTGTGGGTATTTGTATCAACCTCGCGGACAGCTCATATGCCCCTCTGCAGCCCCAGCATCAAGCCCGCGTGAGACCTCTTAAGTCGAACCCTGAACCGGCCTGCAAACTGCTTTCTCAAACTCGGCTAAACCCTAAACCAAGCCCCTAAACCCCGCAAACCTTATAATCACCTGAAGGCTCCAAGCTCTGATGAAAACCTATGCTCTGAACACCTGAGTCACGAGACGAACCCACAGAACCCTTGACCCTCACATCAAGGTGACCTCCGCCCGAAGACGTTCGCAGCGGCCTCCCGCGAGCGAAGCGAGCTTAAACCCCGCTCTGGAAATCCTAAACTCTAAACCCTAAACCCTGGGCCCGTGTGACATGGCTTGGGGGAGAATTCGGATACCAAGATGGGGGAGGGGAATGTACAAGCACAACAAACACAAACATACCTGTGTGTATATATATATATATGTATATACAGGTTCATGTATTTACATATTTAATTATACATATACACATGTATGTATATACGTTTTAACATAACGATCTTAGAGCTCGTCAAAGGTGGAGTGTTTTCGGATTCTTTACTACCGTCTTGATTGTTAGGAGATCAGGGCCTCTATGGCCAATAGCACATTGGGGTTCAGCATTCCATACTGGGGCCCTTCAGGTCCCGTGGTAGTTTCAAGGAGCATAAAGGCTGAGTTTGGGTTTCGAGTGACGGAGATTAGGCTTTCGTTTGCCTTCGAGCGTCCACAGAGCAAACATCGGAAAAAAACGATAGCACTTCTTCAGCAAGAAGATCTGGTGCTTGAAACCGCAAGTGAAGTCGACTTCGTAATAAAATACCAATATGAATCAGGCCATCACAATGATATATTCACAATCTTCCTACAGAGCACTGTAGTAATCACTAGATGTATATACACGCACCAAAACCTTCGGATAAATCCAACCTCAGCTTGAGGCCTTGGGCCAAGGCTCAAGCGTGCCACCTATGAACCACTACCCGCCCATCGTACCTGAACGCAAAGCTCATCGCCCCATGTACCGTCCTCCAAGAGGCCAGAAGAGCCGAAAGCTTTGAACCATTTTCAGGGCCGCCACTCCCCTCTGGGGTTGAACCAACAGACCAGACCTCCATAATGCAAGTTGCTAAACGCGCACAAGAACGTCGTCCTGAGCTGCCGATACCACTTTCTTGAACTGCATATCCCATGCCCAAATTGCGGGTTGCGAGGCCAAACAGCTTCGAGTTCTGGGTTGACGGCTTGGAAACTACATCACTCGAAGAGGGATTGTGATTTTGAGGTTCGTGTCGCAGGCTGTTGGGGTTTGGGGCTGAGGGGTTGACACTTTTGGGGTTTTCCGGCCCACGGCTTCAAGATTTCGCACCATAATTGCAGTACAACAACTACGACGCCGAAGACAAGGGATACTAAAACGACTTTCTTTTACACTACCCAGTCTAGAACCAATACCAGAAACACCCCAAACCTGAGACCGGCCCAATAAAGCCGATAAGCGGCCCACCCTCCGGAAGCCCCAAAACCCTGAGTCCGCTCCTGCGACATTGCCCGAAGGTAGTTGTGAAAGTCTCCTGTAGTAGAGTCGAGTGACATGGAAGCCTTACACCCTGAACTAAGAATCTAACAGCTATCTCGCCGGGGGTTGTTAAGCGTCGGTGTACTTCGGGTCCTTACAAAAAAACCTGAGTATTCAAAGTCTGCTGTGGTGTCCGCTATTTCTCAGACGCACGTACCCTAAAAAGCGGGGTTCTGGCTTCCTAGGCTTCCGCTTCCAGAAGTAGGTCTTATGGGCTCGTAGGTGTGATGTGTGAAATTTTGAACATTCGGTTTCAGCGACGTTTTCACAAATCTCACCGTACATCTTTGAGAGCGTCGATCTCCCCCTGAACTACACGCACAAGGGACAAAGCCGTAAACCAGGACACAAACATCCGATACAATGATTGTGATATAGTTGGCACAACAGACAATATCCTTGCGACCGCCCTAAGCCCTGAGCATGTTGCAATCTCTCAATTCGTGATCTGAACTCTAGGATGCTACAGCCCAGGATATCGCGCAAAGGACCATATCGGAGAACCACGGGTCTACCCAGCAGGATTTGGTCTAGCGGTCTAGCGTGCTTTAGTTTCGGGGTTTTCAAAACATTAAGGGGCCCGTAAATATCTGCTGAGGCCGCAATTGTGGATGTTCAAAACTTGCGGGAGTTTATTCCCATCCACCCAGCTCACCAAGTCGCATCGCGTGGAGTTCGTCCCTGGAGTAAGCCGCTTGCGGGAGTGCAGCGGACAGGACTGAAGTATGAAATGGCTTGGGGTTCACTGGTTTGGAATTA